TGCATCCATCCTATTCTCGGGATCTTTCTATAACAACTCCACTCGATTTCTTCAAATCCTTCATGAATATCCTTAAAACAAGTGTGGCTGTGGTGGCAGCTCAGGTTAGCTGCCTGAGCCCGTACTTGGGGAGTCCCACAGGATTGTAATTGGGCTGCTAGTCCGAGCTGTTACCTGTACTGCTGTGACCACGGAGCTGTTTATAGCATCGTAACTTAAGCAGAGCTAGTAGGTGCGTGCATGCCCACCCACACTGAGACGCCAACGCTGCTTGTGCTGGTAACCTACGCAGCCCAGAACCAGTACCCTTCCCTCCACAGAGTGGAAGTGGCCACTCCATGGAGGAGAGGAAGCAGAAGTGCGGGGTAAAGGGTTGCCAGTGCTCTCAGACCAGATGCTCCAGATGCCATTTGTTGCAATGGTGTCTGGTCTCAGAGAGTGGGAAACCCTAGTGCAGGCCAAGGAGGGAAACTCGGCTGCAGCCTCAGGGTAGGAGGAGTAGGCAGTGACCAGAGGAACTGGAAGAAGAGAAGGGGTGCTCTGAAGGGGAGATTGGCTCATCTCTCCAGTCTCTGGCTGCCCCGTGCTCCTCCAGTCCCATGCTTGGGCCACTTCCCACTACCTGGTGAGCAGAGGCTGGGCAAAGTCTGCAGGTAGAGGGGGTGGCAGGTGGGATGAACCTAGGGACTGTGTATCCATAAGCATATGCAGCATCAGGCACTGCTAAATTTGGTGCACTTGTGGTGCCCCAAACTGCTGCAAATACCTAAAGATGTCCCTGGAATCATCTTTCAGTTGCCATATAGACCTCCCATAAGGCATGTTTTTACTACGGGCCAGATTGACAAGGCACCAATTGATCCAGAAAGGGTCAATTTATTGCATCTAATATAGATACAACAAATAGACCACTGATCCCTCTCCCATCGCCTCTGGTAGTTCTCCAGAACAAAAAAAGTAAGGGGAGTTAAGGGGGGGAGAGGGATTTTTTTTTGTCGACCCAGCAGTAATTTGATCTTTCATTGATGTGATTTATACTATTAAAGTTACTCAAAGTGCAGAGCTTAGATCAATTTGTTCCCATAGTGTAGATGTGTCCTGAGAGATTGAGTGTGTGACACACAATAGCCTCTTATTTTGGTTGGGTCATCCAACTATTTGTCATAATAGTAGACCAGATGTAACTAGAGTTGGTCAGGAATGAGGGGCTTTTCCTGTAATTTTTTTCCCCACTTTATTTGAAAAAAAAAAAAAAAAATTCCAGTAACAGAAAATCTTTGTAAATTTTTGTTTAGCTGTAAACCCAATTTTTACATCAAATGATTTTGATTAGAAAAAGTTCAGCCATCTGTCATGGGTTGCAGGTTGCCCATGACTGTTCTAGCACCATTCTGGTAGTAAGTGTTTTTGGTCACTGCTAATTTGGGTCAGATCTGATTCAGCAACATGAGGCTACACAATTCAATGTAAATTCTAGGAACTGTTTCTCTTTGATCTTCTCTAGGATGAGCTTCAGCTCAATAGCACTTCAGAGGTTGATTTCCAGTTGAGACTGTATTTACAAAAGCTAAATTGGGAGTGATTGTCAATGCCTGATTTAGCTTTTTAAATGCAAAATGAAATTGAAATCAGCCAGCTAAGATATCTTTGAAGTACTATTGAGATCAATGGCCAGACTGAATGCGGTAATATGGGCCTTTTCCTTTGAAGCTGAGTTGTTGCACTGAGCTATATTTAAAGTGGCTGGGCTGATTTCAAGTTTTTTACTCTGACATTTAAGCAGTAAAATCCAGGGTTTCAAACAGCTGCCAACTCTGTTATTCTATGTGAAGTAAACTTCAAAGACACTAGTACCTAGGTCCCAGCAAAATGCAAATGGTTAGAAAAAACACATAGCAACCTATCTAGGCTGCCTTTAAGATGCCATCATTGCAACTCTTGGTATGTTTCAAAGACAATAATTAGAAGGTAAATTACTCTGATCTAAAGTAGATAAAAACAACAAATGATCTGGTAGCACTTATAGACTAACAAAACAAGTAGATGGTATCATGAGCTTTCGTGGGCACAGCCCACTTCTTCTAAAGTAGATAGTGAGACATTTGGTGATGAGGTTAGTAATGTCACACTCCTTGTTCCAGAGTAGTTAATTAAACATGGATATGACACTATCAAAAAGACCCAACCACAATCCAGCTATAGTCTCAACTGGATTTGTTTCTGATTTCACATTTACTGTGACTTCTGTTACTGGAATAGCTATTTCTGATTCATACTAGTGTATCCGAGTTCACACTCTGACCATGAGACACCTGTTGGGAATTCTGGATATAGTTTATGTGTGGGTGATGTTCAGATTTGATTTTCATTATTTTATTTTCCTGCATTCGGCCCAGGCAGGAGCAGACGTTAATTGACCTTTTAGTTTGCTATTTTCTGACAATACTTCAGAAGCAGATGGGTGTTTCCATGTTTAGTTTAAGTCACAGAAGGCTTTTAACACAAAACAACATTTGAAATGGCCCTGGCAGTGAGTGAAATGCTGCTGAATGCAGCAGTCCCAGTTTGGTCAGGAGGCAAAGAGAGGGATACATTCCTACACCTATCACCTGTGAGCTTTGTGCGTCACAAAGCATATGGTTTTTAATATTTTGTACGGGAAAAGATTGTCAAATGCTTTTGCATTACAAAAAAATTCTGCTGACCTTGGTGACAAACGAGTCAAGATTTTAAATAAAACTGATAACACTTTAGAAATACTAACTTTACTTTCATTAGAAACAAGCTTCTGTCACATCACCCCATTAATTACGAGTGGTGAAGATTCAGGTCTAAATCTGCCCTGCTGTTTAAGACACTTGAACATGTAAGAGAGAATCCCATGAGGTTCCAGCTCATTAGGTCTAGTGATTATAGTGTGCTGTAATATATCAAGGGTAGAAAACCCAAACCTCCTTATTTCTGTGTCCATGATCGTTTTGTAAGTTACTTCTTCAGACATTTTCTTTTTTACACTTGCAGGTTTCTTTAATATTAAAAGCCCTGATGTTTCATTCTAATTTTAAGCCTGTTAATGCCAATGGGACAGATTTGGTCCCTCTCTCTCCAAGCCCCACTGTATTTGTTTTGAGAAGTACCTGTGAATCTTAACTATTCTCTGCCCTTGCTGGACGAGTTAGGTGCAAATTTGGGACTTGTAGCCAGTTAGGCACACATGATTTTCTAGGTGAACCAGCATTCCCCAACAGCAATCTAATGCCCAAGTCCTCCCTCCTCCTGTAAGCCTATATAGCCATGCCATAGTAAAGTTTCTCAAATAGTGGGAGATCCTGATCCAAGGGACTCAAACCCTTGTCTGTCAGCTATCTTAAAGGGCTTACCTGGGTAGGTCTCCTGGAAGTCATGGGAACATGCCTATAACGTATTGTTTCAGAAGGGTAGCCGAGTTAGTCTGTAACAGGAAAAACTTAAAAAACAACAAATAGTCTAGTAGCACTTTTAAAGACTAACAAAACTTGTAGATGATATCATGAGCTTTGTGTTAGGCACATTACTTTACACCATTCTCTAGGTAAACGTTGCTGTTCAGGTACCTGTGATGACTTCCTACTCAACCTCCTCTCTGATGTAGAGACCATACTTCAGGGACTTAGCAAGAGATTGAAACCCTGCTGGGCCGCAGGAGAGACTCTGGGGAGATTTCAAATCTCCCCAGAAAGATAAAGCAATCCATCAAGGTCCAATACCATCAGATGAAGCCGCTAGCTGCCTAAAGATAAAGCAATCCATCAAGATCCAATACCATCAGATGAAGCCGCTAGCTACCAGCAGACATCCAATTCCTATTTCAAGGCACTGAACAGAGTTGTCACTTCCAGCTAACCTAACCTCAAAACCTACAAATCAGTTGTGGGCATGGGCAGCAAGAATTGTTTAAAAATCAAGCCATAGAAAGCAATGTTTTTGTTTATAAATGATTTAGGAGACTAAGCACAAAATGAACAATGTAAATCGAAGAACATTTACATCAATGAAGTAGCATCTTCGATACACCTATTATAGGACTGGCTGGCTTCATAGCCATGTGGGACAGTCTCGACATGTGGCTTTAATCTCATGGGCTAATAATGGCAAAATTAAAATTCTCTGAATTATGTTAATGCAAATTATAATTTAAAAATGCATTTTCCCCTCATATGTATGTATTATGGCTCCAGGCACTAAGGATGAGATGATGTCTATATCTTGCAGGACTGAGCAAATAGGCCCCAATCGGGCAATGTTTGCGCACAGCTAGAAATCCTTTGCCCCACCCCACCTGAAGTTCAGTGGGGGTTTGTGCGGGTGCACGGCTCTACCCATGTGCAGGATCAGGTCTTTGGAACAGATAAAGTTATTTCTCTAAGAACCATCTTAGAATAATTTTTCCCTAGTTGGTTTTACATTTTGCAATCTCTTGCAAAAATATTAGCCTCCATGTAAGAACTGTTTATAATCTATTATGCAAAAATAATGCATTTGGAATGCAAAGAGAATGAACATACAATGAAATATGTTTGGTATGCTTTTTCTGACATTTGTACAGGGCATTTACTCAATTCTTCAGCTTCTCTCACATGATATCCACCAAGCTGACTTAGTTTTCTAATTTATTTTTACATGCAGCTATTCAGGTTGCTTTGGCTTACTTGTGTGTAACTAGCACAGCTAAAGTAAATCACCTATGCTAAATAATTTTGCACCTTACCATTGTTTAGTGTTATTGCCCTTAATTAATGTGGGGATTCGGTGTATGCACAAGTTGAGGTTTTTCATTAGTCTATTTTTAATTCTGATGTAGAACAAAAATGGCCCAAATTGTGTTTCACTTTGGTCATATGAGTAGATCCCCTGCATTGGACCTAAATTAATGTTTATATTGCCCTACATGGAAAAATATGATTGAGGTTCCCTTCATCCTATTGTGCCACTTATCAACCTTTTCCTCTTCCCTTCCACAGCTTCCATATTAGCCGTTCCCTTGCTACTCCTACCACACAATGCCCAGCTGTGGCCTCCAGCAGAAAAAGGTGTGCATGCCCATGTGAAACATCAGTCATACAATTCACCATCACTGCACCTCTGCATTCAAGACTGGCAGGGTACTTTGCTGACTGACAGGACATGGTGAAATACCAGAAATCTGACAGGTCCATCTTCCTGACTCGAAAGGGTATAGCTATAGCAACCTTCTGAGTAAATTGGTGTCCTCCAGTGAGCAGAAGCTCCAGCTAATACTTTTGTATGTAACCAAACTGGTATATCAACATTTCAGTGCAAACCACAGATCATTTATATTTTATTATAAAGTATGTGTTTGACCTCATTTTGGACCAGATCAGTAGCATAAGGACACCTCCCCTCAACACAGGCGATCAGCCAATCCCTGTGATCCATTCACCCTTGCTCCATTCATGGAGGAAGATGCTGAAAAGGAGCTGAGATGGAAGGACAATGTTAGTCTCACCCTCCCTGTGCTCCAGCCCACTGGATAGGGTCATCATGCGAATCTGGTCCATCTTAATGGCACACCACAGTCCTGGATAGTCAGGGTGCCTAGGAGCAGAGCACAGTCCCTCGCATGCTCCCCCTGGGTTGGTGCAGCCCTACACCGACTGCCTTCATGCAGGGGTGTGACACAAGTACCACAATCTGTTGAAGATTAAATCAGATTATAAATACTCACCTGGACAGTTTGTTAGCACTCATCTTTTCAGTGGCAGACCTCTCTGCATTACATGTGTGTCCTGTATGATGTTGCCCAGGAATAATGGTTTACCTGCTGCTGGTTGAGGTCTGATCTGTGTATTTTCAAAGAGCTTGCCTGCATGGCAAAACCCTGACTCCCACAATAGTCAACAAGCAGTGGCATGGTCAAGATCATGTCAATATACATCTGTGCTGATCTCAAAAGACCATGTCTGTGAAAAGAGCAGTTTAATCTTGTTCAGTCCAATGCACATCTGTGCTGATCTCAAAAGACCACGTCTGTGAAAAGAGCAGTTTAATCTTGTTCAGTCGTTGACCTCTTTCCTGAGGCTGATGCCACATGTGATGGTATTGGTTTGTGTTGTGGGTGTATGTCCACCAGACCCTGGATTCCGACCACACAGGCCATTGAACGTGTCTCAGATGGTTTCCATACTAAAGAAAAAATTGGTGTTAGTTGGCCTGTACGATCCACTTGCTGTTTGATGCAGCACCATTCTCCTAACTCAGATTTACTGTTTCTGAGATTTATGGTTTTCTTTTACAAAGCAGGCAGCAGAACATGTAATGGATTCCAGACTCCTTTTGTTATAATAATATTATGACTATACATGGCCCTCTTTGTCTCAAGCAAATACCAAAGTGGTCTGCTATGACAAACAGTTTAAACATTGTTGGCCACCTCTGCCCTTTTATACAGCGCGCCATGATTTTGAGAAGGAAACTGGTCAGACTTGTCCCTTGAAATGCCTCCGTTTTTTCACTGCAGGATATGAAAACCACTGACTGAAATATTAAGCGTAACATTTGCGCAGTATTTGACTTGGGAAAGAAACAATGGTTCTGTGCAGAGAAAGTAATAACATGCACATCATGTGGAAGGATCCCAGTCCACTTTACAGACTATGGTTTTGGGACAATTTTTTAGATTGCAGAACCCCTGGGACAGCTGTTGTTTCAAGGAGGTAGAGTGCCTCTCTCAACTCCTGTGTATGCATAGCGTTTAGGATCAGACCGAGCCCACTAGGATCACTTAGTCTGACCTACTGCATAACACAGATCATAGAATTTTACCCCATGTTTGTGTGGTTTTAAGCCAATAACTTCTAGTTGAGCTCTGGCAATTTTCTAGAAAGACATCCAGTCTTGATTGAAAGCATACGCGCTGCACTCTGTACAACCAGCCAGCTCAGCTGACCACAACAAGTGGGAGACTGGCAACGGATGGAGCAATCTGTCTGTCTCCTCCCTACCAATCTCTCCCAGGATCCTTAGAGAAGTAGGAAAGGAGAGACTAACATCATTGAAGTGCTGTTTTCTCCTCTCACTCACTCTGGTGTACCCTGGTATGGTACCCAGTGAAGCACAGGGTCTGCATTTCTGCCTAGTCCTTCTGCAAGCCATGCATGGAGAAGGCGTCTCCTTGCATCCTCACTCCCCCTCTCCCTCCATAACAGCTAAGCAGTAGCTGGCACATAGCCGCTGTGTCCCTCACAACAATTTTGCAGCCCCTCTGGGATGGGCAGTCTTTTAACTGCACCTGTAAGTGTAGTAGAAGATCTGAACCACTCCGTTCAATGGAAGCTACAGGGGAAATTTACGCTACACAATAACTAAAGGGTTATTAAAAGGTAACATTTCAGAGCAAGCCTGGGGGGGGAAGAGTTATTAGCACCTGATTTTTCTTTCACATCAGTGTAACTCACCTGGCTTCAGTAGAGTTACTCTAGCTTTAAATCCATTAACAACAAGAGAGGAGACCCAGAACTGCAATAGCATTAGCCAGAGCAGCATGCCCAGATTTTTAAACAACAATAATCTTCTGAGCTAAAGTAGAAAAACATCATTTTCTCTTCATATTATGAATATTTCATGAGCTATTTCAACAAACAAGGTATCAACCAAGATAATGGGCTTAATCAAGTAATTCCTCAGCGAATCAGTAGGGCTAATGGGCTCAGTTGTCTGCTGGTGTAACTCCCTTGGACTTCTGTGGAGTTATGGCAGCAGAGAATTTGTTCCAATGTTTCTTAATGGAGAGGTAATTTGTAATTATTCTTTTCAAAGATAAATGCACAATGCTGCCAAATAAGTGCATCCTAAAACTGACAAAAGGAGTGTTTCAGAATAGCTGGATTCTGCATTCCAAAAGTCCTGTTTGAGTGTATGAAAAATGTTAGAACAGAATCTAGAGCAGCTACTGTAAGTTACCTTTTTTATCCACAGAAGAGAAATTGCACACTGATTTAATTGAGGTAAATGTCATGCTCACTACATGAATGGCTCTTTGTCAGCCTTGTGATTGGTCTTGGTGTACTTGCCTATTTTAAATTTGTGTGTTGCAAGACTGAAGACCGTTTGTATTTTAAGTAATTGCAACCCACTCCTGCTGTTGTGTCATGCATGCTCCATCAAAGTTCAGGAGCTGGACACCATATAGAAAGCAAGATATATATGAAACATTCCAGGGGAATATGAAGTTAGAATTATTATGAGTCTTTTCTTTTTACAATTTCAGCAATGCTTTAGTTTATATTTATATGTCTTTCTCTCTCTCTGTGTGTGTGTGTGTGTGTGTGTGTTCTATGCACACAAATTGAGTTGTCACATATCAATACATTTTTTAACATTTCGATATGAGGTTTTATTATTGTTGAGTTGAAATAGCTTAATCTTACACACAAACTATGTTAAACAGTAAGACACTGCCAATTCTTAATCATCGGTCTGCTATGTAGAAGGAGATTTTGATTCATTAACTAGCACAAGGGAACTTGGATATATTAGGGACACTCTGTAAGAGTTTATGTAAATTTAAATGCTTTATCGCTGGCACTGCTGAAATACATTGAGGTTCTGGAATCTGCCCTTGGAGCAATGAAAATTTATATATAAAGCTAGGAGTATGTCAATAATTTGATAATAGGACTTCTAAAAATATATTAAACCAGCACCTCACTTTGTTCATTAATAGTATAATAATTAAATTGGTGAAGACTTGATATTGAGGTCATTCCCCAAATCTGGTCTATATCAGACCGTAGTTGATCTGAGCTACTATTATATCATGCAGTGTCTTACTTGCTGAAAAAGAAAGGGGAAATAAGGATTAGCTAAAGGAAACATCTACTTATTTCTTCCTTAATCAACTAAAGGCACTGGGGAATAGCTTTGTGTGGGGATGGAGGAACACACACAAAGACAGAGGGAACACTAGGTGGAACCCACCGCTGTCTGTTTCCTGCAGTCAAAGGAAACGGAGCATGTGGGATATGCTCACCTGATCCTAACGTATGATCCCCGTTTAATGCTTTAGGAGAAAAGGGGGGGAAAAAGGTAAATCATTGAAAGTTAAAACAGGATTTTTTTTCTTGCAATATTACAATAAAAGTGTGTTGCTGGGCTTGCTTTATTAAATTAAGAGCTTTACTTTTACATATAACTATAATTGGCTAATTACTATGCAACTGAGGGCCCTACTCTGTACTGAGATTGCCACTGAAGTCAATAAGAATTCAATTTGCAGGAAGGCTGCTGAATTTGAAATATGAATCCTTATAAATACAGTAAAAAGATTTGAGATCAAGCTATATTCAAATTAAAAAGAAAAAAAAACAACCCTTCTCTAATCAAATCAAGATAGCTGGTATTGATTCTTATTATATTGATTTTATATCCCTGGAGTATTTTCTTTTACTCAGTTATCATGAAATCAAATATGGGAACACAGTTAAACACTAAATCTCACATCACATTACAGTGTAAATGTTGTTTGTCATAGGAGGAGGTGCATAATTGAAAAAGCTGTGATTTATATATGCCCAAAGAAGCAAACACACACTTCCGGGAACTTTTGTGGAAATCCTCACTAAGCATGGATACAGCAGCTGCTGTGTGTGAACTATTGCTCTTCTGTTTCAGCTTTCAGAACAGATAAATTGTGGCACTTTCTCTTTTATATTATCCTGGTTGATGCTAATAAACCAAAGATTTCTAGACAACATTGGGTTGAGCATTTGTTTTTTTTCTTTTTTCCAAATGTGCCACTTGCTGATTGGGAGGTGGGGGTGGGGGGGATGGGAAGGGGTAAGGAGATGTATATGCTGAAAAGGTACAGGTGAAATCATAAAAGGAAAATTAAATTGTTACATGTATAGAATTCTTTTCATACTAAAGCAATACAAATAATTTTACCAAAGGTCAATGAAATGACTGCTAGCTTGCAAAACATTTTCCACTCTCAACACTAGTTTTTACATGCTTCATGAGGGTAATTGCTTATAAAGATTTCTATAACATTTCAGGAATAACACAGTTTAAAACTTCATTAAAAGTTAACTTTTTGGTTTTGGTCCATGGTTTGTTTTGCCCCAAAATGGATTTTTATGGTTTTCTTTGACAGGGGATTTTTTGAGCAACGCAACTTTGCCCATTTCTGAGTTAGGAGAAATTGAAAAAATACATTTGTCTCATTGTAACTCTATATTAATCAATTTTTTATTTACTGGGTACACAGTGAAAATGACAAATTTAAACTTAGTTTGGGTGCTGATTTTAATGAAGGGCAGATAGTTTAGCAGGAAGACGGAGTGATGAATTAAAAATGAAGAGAAGTCATGATTGATTGAACAACACTTCCGTACATGCTCTGAGAGTAAATACCCTAAAACTTTCTATTGGGTTTAATAAAGCTCTTTCTAACATCACTGCATATTCTCTCTGCCCAATCCAGCCAGCACAAAGGCTGTTTCTGAAACAATTTACATGGGAGAAAGTTTGTATTTTAATGAAATACAGACAGCAAAATAGCTTCCTGACTTCAGGTAAGGAGAAATTCAGTGAAGAAAGCCCACTCCCCCCACATAGCCTTCTGGGCAATTTTAGTTTTCAGGTCTTTAGCTGAGTAAGTTTTGCCTCTGTTGGAACTGCTGAATAGAGCTCATGGTGTGAAGCAGGAGTCCTGAAGGACCACAGGTTCTCCCTAAGGAGGTAGTGCAGTCTTGTGACTTGCCCTGCAGAAAGTGAGAGACCTCAAGGGCAGTGTTGTGCAAACTTTTGCAGTCCCCCTCCTTCCGCCTACCATTCATGGAATTTGTCACACTCCTCACTCAGTTACTTATAATTGGAAGTAATCCCTTTACATTTGCACAGCTGCAGGTGTCGGCATTGCCCGTAGTGTTGGCCAGCCAGAGAAGAGTGGAGGTTGCTGGCTAGGACTAGCAATGTTTGCAGTGCAGGAGGAGTCTCTCTCTCTAAAATATCCCACTCCCATCCTGCCCCACAATGCTCGGCCCATTTTTACCCCACTGCTGCTGCTATGTCAGTGGATCCCCTGGGATCCCAGTTTCTTTATGCCCCCTTCCCAAGAATCCCAAAGTTTGTGCACCACTCACTGCTCTAGAAGGTCTGGCCCATGGCAGGGGATCCTCCCAAAGATTGTTTCAAATATGAGGGAGGTCACAGCACCAGTCCTATGTAGCTGTGACAGCTGCAAGTGAAACCAGAGTAAAAAGGTTTTTAATCCCCTCCTCCCCTTTTTGCCATAAAGTCAACAATTCCAGCACAGGAGCCATATAGGGCACAGATCTGAATAAGAAGGTGCCATATGTGTCTGGTTTTAGTTGTGGACAAAAGTTGAAATTTCTAGTCTTTACTGTTGCCAAGATACAGTTTTCCCCATTATATCTCAGTGTGCTGCTGACCCAACCTTGTAGAAAGGAGATCAGATGTGGTGTCAATGCACCATAGCTGAGGATCTGATGCTATAGAATTTCTCTAGCCACACAATAGCAGCAATAAAATGAGTGTATTTATCCCTCTTCAACCCATTCAGAGGAATGAATTTCAAAGTGTAATTGAGACTAACTATAATTATTTATTTCCAATAGTACCTTTAATGTGGTAGACACTTTCTTAACAAAAGAGAAAGCAGGAGTAATTACAATCTCATGGGAAACAGACAGAAGGGGTACATCATATTAATTATTAGGGAAGAGAGATTTATGTTAATGTCAACTAAATTTAAAGGCCTAATTATTATTAAGCACATTACAGACCCACCTGCTTCGTTTCCTTAAAAAACAAACAAACAGTGAAATTCATCGAAAAGACCATTAATGCAACATCTTTTAATCACTTTCCACATTCTTTGTGATTTTATCTCCAACAGTAACTTCTGTTTGGCCACTGTTCTATTTCTCTAGGTAACTGTGTAGGTAAATGATTTATTACTTTTTGTCATATAAGCTAGATACCATAAAACAATCAACAGTACAGCAATCCCTCAGTGTAGTCTCTCTCAAGTGGGATTCATACTGTACAACCTGATCATTTTATTCCTGGAGCATTTTGCAAAGGCTTACACACTTTTCCCACTGCTGACATGGAACGAACAGACACACAACAATTCAGAACAGGAAGCTAAGAACACAACAATATTGAATTGAAACTTCAGGGGAATATAATAGCTGACACTAATCATAGATGGAATAAAGTCTCATGTTGGCTGCTTGTAATTTTATTTTTCTAGTGGTATGCAAATGCTGAAGAAAGTTTGTTTATCAATATCAGGCTTGTATTCCCCTGATTTTGAACCAAGCCTGCTTTTGTAGAAAGAATGTATCCACATGGGTGGTGGGTGAACAGCTGGCTTAGGGAGGCAAGTTCCAGTCATGCCTCTTCTGCTCAAGGCCCCACACCTTCCATGCCCACCTGGCCACAGGCCTCCTTCCTGTGCCTCAGCCTAGTATGGCCATTGGACCCTGGCCAAGGCTAGCACCTCTTTCTTGGCCCCCAGAGCAGTCATGTTGCCCCAGCTCTCTCCCTGCCACACCTGGCCTCTGGAGCAGTCATGCAGCCTTGAGACTATTCCAGACCGTGGAGCAGCCAGATGACCCTCCAACCCTACTCCGGCCTCTGGAGCGGCCAGGCATCCCCAGTCCCCAGACCAACTGGACAGCCAAGGCTTCACTCTGGTCCCTGGAGCAGCCGGGCAGCTGCGTTGCAGCCCCAGCCTTCCTGGTCAGCTAGGCAGCACATGACCCCAGGCCTTTTTGGGACAGCACTGCCCTCCCTTGCCAACACAACCCACTTCCCATGGGTATCTGATAAGCATACAACCATGCCTTCAGAGATACCACCACACTGTGATTGAATATAGAAGCTTTGAACTGCTATGCTAGCCACAGCTCCAATAGATTACAGGGCTAAAACTGCTACAAGAAAGCAGGCAGAAAGGATTTTCTAACTATCTCGAAGGAATTTCCAGAAAAATTCTGCATTGGGAGAACTGAAATAGTTGCTGGCTTTCATTCCCCCGCCCCCCATCCCAGGGGTGACTTCATGCTTCAAAGCTAACTGTTACCCCGGAGCAGCCCACTGCCCAAGGGCTGGTTCAGTGCCATGGGTCTGGAAGAAGTCACCTGACCCCATTTAATCAGTTAACTGGTTACACTTAATGTTTAATGGGTTAACTAATTCAACAGGCTTTTACGTCCCTAAACAGAATATGCTCATTTGAGAAAGTCCAAGACATACACTTGACTCACTTAAATCTGCAAACGAGACGCCGTCAGAGAAGATGATCACATCATTGACGGACCAAATGAAGGAGACTCCGTCAGAGAAGATGATCACATCATTGACGGACCAAATGCCCTGAGAGAACTTGCTTCACTACAGGAAAAAAAAATCCCAGCCCACTAACCACACTCCTATGGAGTCCATCTACACTCGGGAGCATACTCGGTTGCATGTGTGTTATTGTGCTGTGAGCCTTCCCTCGTGCTGCCCCACTGTCCACATCTGATGCCCTGAAGCAAGTTCCTGAAGGACCGTCTAATATGCAAACACTAGCATGCATGGGCAATGTGGGTATGCGCATACCTCTGCTGCGGCATGACCTACTCTACTGCACAGCGTAGAGGAGCAGGAGGGCATGTACCATTCCCATATCCATTCCCACAATGCACTGATTCCTTTGCTGCCTGTGCCTGCTCCCCATTGTCAGTGTTTAGCCTGCCCTGAGCACATTCCATTCTCCCTCGAACTCTGTTGATCAGCACGTGTCCAGACAGCATGTTCCATAAGCTGCTACTTGGTCTTGGAATGCACATACTGGTGCTGACCAGAATGTGGTGCTCCATGACTTGTGCTGGTAGGAGGAGGAACACACACCTATGTTGGGAGAGTTCATGGAAGTTGGCTTCCAGTACCAGGAATGTGTGATGCACCTCAGGTTCCTGTATTGGAGGTTGAAGGATTCAAACAGTTACTTGAGGAGAAAGCCTGGCACATGCTTTTTCTATGATAATGTGCCAGGTGCTTTGAGTACTGTGTCTGAGTTCAGTCACGATACCCTCTTCAATCCTGCCATTCTCATACTGCACGATGCTAATGAGAGGCAGGGTGAAGAGGCAACAAGGATCTTGGAAGTCCTAGAGGGAAAAACCTGCACTGATACCCAGCAGACCAAGTTAAGTTAGACTACCTGAGGAGGATCACAGCAGAAACTGGAATCCAAGGCTGGTTTCTTGAAACATGTGTTAACGTCTTATGCTTGACAATCTGTTCCATTTGTATTTAGCTGTGACGATCTGGTTACCTTTTCCAGACCTGACTCTTCCACCAACCTCCTCCACAAATTTCATCTCAACCACCTTGGCCCTTTCTCCTATCCTGAGACCAACACACTACAAAGAACTTTTGAGGCAGGCTGCTGAAGGCCAATTACCCGGGTTCCTCACCTCAGATGTTTTGATTTTTTTGTGATAAGGGCATTTTCCACCAGAAAATTCATGACCCATTTTACAAATATCTTTCAATCAACTATTCACAGCAACTCTATGCCAACTCTATTTGACAAACATATATATAATGACAGAATTATTATTATTATTAATTATAAACACTCTAGGATTTTACTTTTCTTTTTTAAATCCTTAGAATTTTCTTCCCACTGTAATGTATTGCTATATTTCTGAGGCTAAGAGGATAAGACATTAAGCTAGTTTTCATGTTGTTGCTGTGTCACAGTGGATAGCATGGATTTCTCACGTCTTTAATTAAAACTGTTTTCCACTTCTTAGTGTTTACATTGAGCAGTTGGAGTTAATGTGTGGGGTTTTTTTTCAAACTGAAAACAGATTAATTGCAATACATGGCAAACCCTTTGGTACATTAGAATTGTATTTGCACACTAGCTTAATAATTAACTGCATTGGACACTGTAGAAGCAAAGACTATGCAACCTTGTTTATATTTAGGTTTGGCAGAATTCATTTTTTATCTTTTATAATGTTGATGGATAATATCAGTGTTTAATTCCAAGCTTTAAAAATGTTTTATTTAATTAGAAAGCTGAAATTATGGAAAGTCAGACAATGGGGAACATCAATAATTATGTAATGACAGTAGGTACTGAGATTCAAAAAGTTAGCTTTATCACCATTAAAGTATGAATTGTCAAAGTCACATGTCAAAATACCCAAAGTAAATATCCTTAAATCAATCTCTAATAAGTTTTCAAGTAATATTTTTCTTACTTGGCTGATCTGTATATTTTGATTATCAATGGAAATATATTTTTGTCCTTTTGTGTGTGTGTGTACAGTGAACTTGACATTTACTGACATTTACCAATAAAAATCTAATCCTTCCAAACTTATTCATATTCACATAGTGCTGTCAATTTACTTACCTCCATTTCCTCCAGCACACATGTCTCTAGAGACAACCATATTTTTACCACAATGTTCTATGAAGCTGATGCATTTCTTCTGAGCAGTGATTTTTATAACACAGCTCATACTGAAAATGTATATGGGACGGATTCTCAGCTGATGACTTCAGTGGAGCAATGCCAATATATAGTAGCTGAGGATCTGGTGCGTAATTGATAATGATGTTCCCAAAGACAGAGGAATGTTTATACCACAAAAGAATATGGTGCTAAAATATCTTGACTTACCAGGCAGATGAACTCTGAAAAGACATCAACGGTGGATTTAAAGCATCTCCTTTCAAAGTATGTACTGCCTGTGACGTCTGAGTCTGAGTCTGAGTCTGTACTTGGCTTGGATCCTGAGCAGGGTTAATCCATCGGTTCTGTGCCTGTGTCATCCACTTTCCCTGGATCCCCCACCTTGCCAGGTAAAATTTGCAAATATCGTAGTTCATTGATGAGTAATATAAAAGATCCAGTACGAGCAAGATCATAACAAAAAAGCCATAGATCCAGACTCCTAACAATGCACTGTAATTGCTGCAGGGGGGAGGAGGAGAAGAAAACAACGAAGGAAATGATTTAACAGAACAGTAACACTCTGTTTACCAAGCGGTTTTCTTTGTTGGTTTGTTTTTAAAAATAATCAGGATTTTCATCTAAGAGGAGCCGGTATTTATGGTAGAACAGGGTTAAGAGTGTAGATATCCCAAATGCCTTGTTTCACTAGTGTAAAATACATTAAAACACAACATTACAAAATAGTGACTATAATTCCTTAAGCAAGTATGGAGGTGAAAATACATAGTAGACTTATGTGTAAATATTGGCAGAGCTATAACATATGTATGAGTAAGGGTCAGGACCAATATCATCCATTGGCTGCCACTGGTATATAACAAAAGTGCCTCCAAAGCTTAACAAAAAAAGGCAGAACAGACTGAGTAAAGATATCAAGTAAAGTGAAAGAGAATAGTAGTGAGATAAAAGCAGGGGAGATGGGAAAATTTATGACAGCAAGGTTAGCTGTTTTTTTTTAAACATAGTAATTTTTAGGTCTACTAGCATTTGTTATGGGAAACTGGGGATTAGGAAAGAGCAAATTATATTAGAGCAAAATTGTGAGTTTTGAGGAGGAATTTAAATGGAGATTGCCAGCTGTATGGCAGCAGAAGGCTGTTCCAGGCATAAGGGCTGGGGTGATGAAAAAGTGCACAATAGAGAGTGGGAAAAGAAAAGGAAGCAAAAGGGTAAGTACAGGTTGTACCTCCTAAATCCGGGATTCTCTGGTTTGGCAACATCTGTGGTCCGGCAGGATCACGGATGTTGCTGGACTAGAGAGCCCTGGCGCCCAAGAGTACGAGCTGGTCCAGAGTCCAGTGGTGGGAAGCCCACCATTGGGACCCATGAGCCCTGTCCCCAGGGAGCCTCAGCCAGGCGGGGCAGCAGTGGGACTAGGAAGTCCTGTCCCAGTGCAGCAGCAGTGGAGCAGCTGCAGAGTCCCCAGGAAGCCCTGGTCGAGTGCAGCAACAATGGGGCAGTTGGTGAGCCCCGGCCAAGCAGGGCAGAAGCAGGTCCACGGTGGCTGGGGAGCTCTGTCCCCAGAAAGCCCCAGCTGGCTGGTGGCAGCAGGCTAGAGCCAAGCCCAAGCCCTGGAGCTCAGTGGCAGTGGGATGGAGCAGAGCCAGCCAGAGGGAAGGGCAGTTCCTGGGAGGCTGGTGGCAGAGGAACTCCCTGATCCAGCAAATTCCCTCATTCAGGAAGGGTTAGGTCCGAGGGTGCTAGACCAGGGAGGTCCCACCTGTAGATAGAAACAGTCTTGAAAACACACAAAGAATTACAATATGGCCCCCAAGTAATTCTTTAGGCTTACATCATTTACAGACGTCCAAATTATATAAACCTGTCATTCTACCACCAGCACCCTGCTGAAACCAGTGAAAGCAAGGAAAGTATTAAGCTACAACTGGTGAGAGAAACTGACAGAACCCAACCTTCCAACAGACTATTCAGGTTGGCTGAAATCTAAGTGTTCTGTCACACTGGATTGATTTTTCCCAAATTTCATTATGGAATTAAAACCAGGAAAAATATCAATGTGGAAATATCCCATTCTGGCCGTTTCAGAACAATTGTGTGTTGCAAAATGACTGTTTTGAATTGTTAAAATACTTTGTATTAGTTACATATAATGCAAAAGAAAAAAGTTGAAGTTGAAACAAAATGTTTTGGTTCACAATTTTTCCTTTTCTGAGAATTTTGAAATGTTTGGTGTTTGATCCACCTTGGGATGAAGCCAAATTAAAAAAAAATCTCTGCAATCCTTCACAAAATGACACTACCATCCTCCATCCAGCTCTCCAGTCAGTGATTTACTGCCTTAGGCTGTTCTGTATCAGACAGGGCAGAGTCTTTCAGTTTAATTTAGATTGTAAACAGCTTGCGGCAAGGCCCGACTTCTTTTTATACGTTTGTAAAACTTAGTGGCAGGGATATATTGCACTACAGGCCTGACCCATCTCCCATTGGAGTGAGTGGGAGTCTTTCAAGGGGAGTTTGGGTTCTCTGTTAGGGTTCAGGCTCAGGCTCTTAAATGCAATATATATCTAAAGACTAAGCAGGTTCATAAGCCCTAGAACATATGCTTATGAACCAGCAAACTATGTTGTAGCTACCTGAGATTTACTGTACTAGCCTGAATGCAGTGCTTTGTTCTTGTATTTCTGTCAATGCTTTCAGCAAAGCTAATACAGTATGAAATAGCAAATTCTGTACATTTCTCTTTTACTCTAGACTCTGCTCCCTCCACTGTGCAGTGTGTCACACAAATTATGGCTAGACACCACAATTTGCCTAGAAAGGCAACTGAAAAATTAAAGCATTTTGAAGGTAGATTTTTGTTGTCTAGGAAACGGAAGACAAAAGTTTAAAGAACATGCTGATATAACTTTAATTTGTTTTAAATTAAAATTTTAGGTACGATTCTGAGTTTCTGTTATGTTAAGATTTAACCCTTAATGGGTCCTGTGAGCATTTAGTTTCATAATTACAAATAAACATAATTTAAGACTTGGATTTCCAGTAGAGTTTAGTACTAACACTTCAATGGGAATAGAGGTAGATCAATGCTAAGTCATTTTGAAAATCTCTTCTGATCCTCTAAAAGGCCTGCTCCTGTGAAAACTTGTACATGTGCTTAATTTTATGAACTATGAATCTCACCTGATAATTTTTTATAAGGCTTTGCAGGACTGGATCCTAAAATATAACCTGAAAGGTTTGGACCAAGATTTTCAATGGCATTGCTCCTGATTCTTCATTGGACAAACTCTTTTTTTTTTTTTTTTTTTTTTTTAAATAACACTGGTAAAAATTTGGAGTTGCTACATTAAAATATGAATGGGGAGACAGGTGTACAGAATTCATTCCCTAGGAGAAATCCTGTTAATTTGTAATAATTGAATTTCATTGAACTCAACAGGCCAACTTCTGGGAGCAGGATTTGTCCCACAGAGGGCAGGAAAATGTATTTTTGTTTCCTATAAAGATAGAAATGGTGTCATTTATACGCTGGCAGGAATTTGGAGGCAAGAACATTACTTTTTCTTATAGTTGTTCAAATGGATGTTTTTATGGCTGTGTTTAGGCCTTTGTTTTTTCCATTAAAATCACTTAGTGAAAAATTGGGTCTATTATGAGCACTTCAATTTAAAGTAACAATTTATTAATCATGCCTTATATGGGTTCTCCATCTGTTTCTTGTAAATAACATCTGTTTCTGACAAGTGTAAAAATGAAAGAATGCATTATTTTAATTAAGATATAGTGGAACAAGAGCCCTATTGCAGAAGCCTTGTGAAAATCACAGGCAATTAATAAATTATATGGGTTGCTTACAGGGAGAAACTCGATACGTTGGTACAGTTTGTTAAAGATTATAATGGTGTGAAACATTCACTTTATACACATACTATTGAAATTAAAGCTTTTCCTATGCATCAAGAAGAAATCACTATGAAAAAAATGTGCAAGCCTAGGTACTGTGTGCATTGTTGGGAGACAATGAAGTCTGGGAGACAACCAGGAGAACTGAGAGTCAGAACAACTCGGTTTCATTTTCAGTTCAAGGGACTGTTTTTTCCTTGGCGGCTGGTCTATGTGGCCCTGCACTGCATACCGCGGGCATGTGTATTGCAGCATGCACCAAAGGGTTCAAATCAGCATAATCTTCTTTGAGAAAATACTGCATTAATGCAAAGTAGGTGTTTTTTAGTTCATGCTAGTAGGGCCTGCACCAAAGATTAGAGCCAGGCTTCTCAACTTTGGAAGCCCTGGGGCCTCAGTGATACTCACAGCACATGCCGAGGGCCATAACTTAAGTGTGGTGCATATACATGCAAGTATATATGCAAATTGCTTCTTTCACACTGATGGGCATAAATACAAAGCACTTCCCACATCAGCACCTCCTCCCTGGGGACTAGAAATGCCAACACTCTCTACCCATCAGATCCAGGCAGCCCATCTGTTTGCATCTTTCAATGTTCACCCCTCCTGGGAGACACCTCACCATTGTGGAGTATGTTCCCAGTGGAGGCCCTGTTCAAAGGATCCCAGCTGTGGGCCGCATATTGAGCCTTGCGTAAACCCAAACCGCCCTGCAGGCTGCAAACAAACAGGCCATTGGCCGCATGTGCAGTAGCCCTGGATTAGAGTATAACATGCAGTGTGTGCAGCAACTCGCACCCTTGTAGAGTGCACAGTGAAGCTAGGTAGGGAGCCCTAAGTTTTACATTTTTAGTTAGTTCCACTACACAATCTCTCTCCTGTGCTTTCCCCTGGATGCAATATCTGGGTTGCAAGAAAATATTTTCATATACATTAATATTTACATCACTATTCACATCCATATGTAGGTGAGGATTTCAAATGTCAGTAAGATTCAGAATTATTTTGATTCAATCTGTTACTGAAATTCCCTAGTCTAGCAACTCTGAGGGTACATCTACACTAGCTCCCTAGTTCCAACTAGGGAGGCTAATGAGGGCGACTGAAATTGCAAATGAAGTGCGGGATTTAAATATCCCGTGCTTCATTAGCACAGTCCTGGGTGGTTGCCATTTTGGAAACTGACTAGCCCGGAATAACTGCCCACGTCTACATGCGGCAGTGAAACGGGAGTTTGAAGTAAACCCCTAACTCGAATTAGCTATTACTCCTCATGGAATGAGGTTTCCCTGTGCTGAACATCGGACACTTGTTATGCAGTCTGCATGGTTTGGGGTGTAAACAGGCTGGAAATTGCTCTTCACCCGCATCCCCTGCCATTCCAGAGCTTAGCTGAGGGGTGGAGAGGCTTCCCCGTACCAGCGGTGTGCAGGGCGTTGGCACATACAGGTCTCAGCAGCTCCTGGACACTGCCCTGAGCCAGAGGAACTTGCGCATTCCCAGGGAGCTTGCCTAGGCAGAGGCAATGGGGGAAGGAAGGAGCCTGCAAGCCTGGCTGCTGGTGAACTGAGTGTTCTGACCAGGAGCTAGTT